ACACACCTCTCATACCAGCCCACTGAGGCCAGTTTAAAAAACACATCTGCCTTCCCTCTTCAACGATTTCCAGACAGACAGCAGCAGTTCTCCCTCCCTGCCTGCCTGCCTATCACTCCCACTCTTCCTATCTTCTCTCTCACACATCCACCTGCTCACATACTGACACAGTCATTCCGGACACAAGCCAGCTCAGTGTATCATATCTCAGGTCCAACACTGGAGATAGCTACCATCTCCAACCAGGCTGGGCCTAAACTGATGGAGAGAGGGATGGATGGATGGATGGATGGATGGATGGATGGATGGATGGATGGATGGATGGATGGAGAGAGGGATGGATGGATGGAGGGGGCGCAGTGAGGTTCAATGAGGCACAGCCATGGACGGAACGGCTTTAACGTGGGCAATGAGGCGTGAATGTGTTAATCTGGTTAGGAAATCCTGGTTAGCAAACACAGATTAGAGAGAGAGCTGTCTGATATCAATCCGCCGCAGTCCAACCTCACAGAGACCATGGCTGTGTGTACCAACCAGCAGCTGGATAAACTATACCACGTTCACCAGAAACTTGAGGCACTTCACACAGTGAATGGGTCTGATGCACTGCAATACCAAAGTGGTAAAAAATTGTGTTTGAGAAACAGTGTGTGTGTATGCCGGGTGGTACGGTAGCGATACTTGCTTGTAAATTTGTATCATGTTACAGATAAACTGCACAGCGAGAACCGCTCGGCGAAACTTCTAAAGTCTCTGTGGATGGACACACGCACACACACACACACACACTCGTTAGAGCACACAGTATCAGGAAGACATTGGTTCACATTAATATGAGTGATATCTGGAGTGAGGTTGTCTGACTGGCATGAGACTGAGGGAATAGCGCAGGGCTAGCAGGCTGTTAAGAGAACAGAACAGAGTAGGGCAGAGCAGTGCCGGACAAATGGGAGGATGCAGCCAAGCCTGACCTTGGAACAGCTTCAAATCTGATCCTGGTCCAGCAGTAAAACCACACACACACCGCACACAAACAGGTAGATGGTGATTTTCCTCTGACTGTTTGATAGGTTCTATACTTTTGTAGTAGCAAAGGAAAAAGAACATGACAGAAATTTTTTGTTTTGTACCACCATAATTGTCATGTTTTCATATATATTAAATTATGTCAGACATGTTTAATTTGCAGCAATAGCAGTTGTGAGGGGATTTTCTTCTTGCCTTTACCTTGGGATGTCCAACATTTCCAAGCTCTCCTCTCTCCATATTATTGTCTGCATCAAAGGAACCAGTTTAAAACAAGATGCCATTCGTCCTCTTGAAATTAAAACTCAACGCCTCATTTAGATTATAAGTGACACCAAATATGTCGACCAGGAAAACAACATGGTAATTGGTGTCACTTATAATCTAAATGAGGCATTGAGTTTTAATTTCAAGTGGACGAATGGCATCTTGGTTTAAACTGGTTCGCACTACTACACGTAACATCATTGCGGTAAATGGCCACCTAAACGCGGTTTAATGTGTTACCAAGCTTTTCCTTGGGGATGTAGGTGCTGGTGATGCAATAGGGCAAGGCTAGGATAGCTCCGGGGTGAAGTTTCCCCAGATCTAGGGCCGACTATCGCCAAATTAACCGCACCCCTTCCGAAATTGACAAGATGCCAGGTGCTCCCCAGTGAAATCGTGATTCGTCCAAATCAGTGACGCAAAAACCATCGCACCTCGTAGAAGTGTTCTTCATAACCCTCACACATCCCAAGTAGAGACTACCTCAGAAGACGGTAAGAACCGATAATTAAAACAAACTATGAAACATGTACATGTTACAACATGTATTAGGCCATATTTTGCTGACAACCTTACCTTTGTAAATGTGGTCCATTTTGTCAGTCCATATCAAAGGTTTCATGCAGTAGTGTCGACCAAATGAGTTTCATTTGTTGCTAATTAAATTGCTACATAGTCATGAACAATACCGTATTCCAGCAGGCCTATGTTAGTTTATGGCTGGCTCGAGATAGCAAGGCTTGTGAGTGGAGCGCCTGAAAACAGTTACTCATGCGCACATTGAGGTGTGACCGCACATACATTTACATATTCCCCCTAAACGCCAAACAGGCTATTTGTCAAACCCTGATAGATGCGAGGCCAGACGTTGGCTTTGTGCGTTTCTGTTTGCTTAAGCCTCTACCCTTTTAGAACAGATTTGATTGATGAGTAAATATTAAACATGTCCTCTCAAGCCATTCCTGCACCACAAGGTTTGGTGATTAGGCCTGCCTACTGCCATGCATGTTTACACACACAGAAACAATCTGTTATAAATCTACTCAAGTAATTTGCATAAGCACACGTAAAGCACACACACACAACCCTACTAACAACCGCACACAGATACAAATGCATGTTCACCCATCATTCATGTTCTTGTGTAAACAAGTCACAGATTGACACATGCATGCTCATGTATGTTGTTAGCCACCTTGTTTAATAAAGAAATTATATTCTCTGTGATCATGCAGAAAACTATAAGGTACCTGTACAGATTCTGATTGGACCTCGGCACATACTAATAATGAACACTAGGTGGAGATGTTGTTCTACAGAAGAAATATAACTATTGTCTGAAAAACTGATGAGAGAGGGAGCAAGAGAGAGAGAATTGTATGTATGTATGTATGTATGTGTATATATATATATATATATACACCCTGGATTGCTGATGCTATGAAGCCACCTGCCGCCATATTTGCACTCCCTAGTAGGAGCAGTCCTCCATAGGAATGAATGGAATTCTACAGTATTTCAATTAAACGTTTCAAGGACATAATTTCATGTATTTAAGTATTTATTTGTTGTAGTGGGGACAGTACCATTAGTACTCTCTAAAAATGTATACTTTAAGGAATACATTTTTATAATTTAAAATGTTTATGTTCAGTTCACATAAAACAATTTAAAAGTATGCATTAAGGTGTCTGTAATAGAATAATATACTTGTAAAAACCCGAACGTAGGCATTAATAAATGCATTTCTATAGCTTCCAAAATCTTTATTACAATGGAGGAGTACCAAAATGTCTGCACGATCGCTTCAATACAGCACCCCCGTCAGTCATCCAGGGTTTATACATGCGATTGGAGAGAGAGAGAATAGTACGTTAGCAAAGGAGTCTATTCTCCATCATGTAGTTGTCATTGAGCAAAGCTGAGAGGAAAATTATCAAGACGAGGCTGCCACCTGTTGTCTGATCTGCAAACTACAACTCCACTGTACAGCAACTCTTACCCAAGACCAAACTAAATATAGCTCTGCTGCGCAGGGTAAATTGTTTTATCGTACCAAAGTGGAAACAGACACAAAAGTAAGAACCAGTTATAATACAGCAGCCTTTTTTTGACAATTTCAATTGTTTAATCTGTGCTTATGGAGTAAGTGGCAATATCACTGCTCACAACAATGAGAAAAATAATCGTACATACCAGACCATTTTAAAGTATTGTGATGTAAGTACTCTCACATCACAAAATCATCTCTAAATACAAAATCTACATTTCCATTTTACGATCAATTCTTTACAAATCATATACAGTACCAGTCAAAAGTTTGAGCACACCTACTCATTCAAGGGTTTTTCTTTATTTTTACTATTTTCTACATTGTAGAATAATAGTGAAGACACAAACTATGAAATAACACATCTCAACATTAACTGTTCAGAGGAGACTGCGTGAATCAGGCATTCATGGTGGAATTGCTGCAAAGAAACCACGGTGGTGGAAATCTGTCCTTTGGTCTGATGAGTCCAAATTTGAGATTTTTGGTTCCAACCACCATGTCTTTGTGAGAGGCAGAGTAGGTGAACGGATGATCTCCACATGTGTGGTTCCCACCATGAAGCATGGAGGAGGAGGTGTGGAGGTGCTTTGCTGGTGACACTGTCTGTGATTTATTTAGAATTCAAGGCACACTTAACCAGCATGGCTACCACAGCATTCTGCAGCGATACTCCATCCCATCTGGTTTGCGCTTAGTGGGACTATCAATTGTTTTTCAACAGGACAATGTGCAAAGCTGTCATCAAGGCAAAGGGTGGCTACTTTGAAGAATCTCAAATATAAAATATATTTGGATTTGTTTAACACCTTTTTTTGGTTACTACATGATTCCATATGTGTTATTTCATAGTTTTGATGTCTTCACTATTATTCTACAATGTAGAAAATAATACAAATAAAGAAAAACCCTGGAATGAGTACGTGTGTCCAAACCTTTGACTGGTACTGTATATTTACACTAAAGCGCAGTATGATTTAAAAGCACACTTTAATTTAAAGAGACTAATCATTTGGTCTTCTAAGAAATATAATATTTGAATGTGTTTCCCATCTCAGTGAGAATCGAGAGCTCCATTGCTACGTCTTGGTAACTGAATCTTTTTCAACAGTGGCCTACTGAATGTCTTTCAGTTACTGAATTACCTTTAGTAACTGAATCTCTCTGTTACCGAATTACCTTTAGTAACTGAATCGCTCTGTTACCGAATTACCTTTAGTAACTGAATCGCTCAGTTACTGAATTACCTTTAGTAACTGAATCTCTCTGTTACAAACCTAAAAGGATGAGGAAATTCTAGGAACTTTCTGCTATCTGCATGAGAGTTTATGTACAAATCTATTATTACAGAATGTTAGAAGCTCTGGCTCTCTTTAGGTGGTATCGAAAGAGCTGAGATGTGCTCTTGAGTTAAACATTCTGTAACGGTATTTCTGTTATTACATCTTGAAGAAGATGTTTAAGGGAAATGGGTTTATCAGAGGAGGCTGGTGGGAGGAGCTATAGGAGAACGGGCTCATTCTAATGGCTGGAATTGAATCAACGCAACGGAGTCAAACACGCTGTTTCCATGTGTTTGATGTATTCGGTACCATTTCATTGATTCCATTCCAGCCATTACAAGGAGCCCGTTCTCCTCCCACCAGCCTCCTCTGATGTCTACATGTTTACCATAGCATCATGTATTTTATTCACCTCCAAATTGAGCCACCTTATCTCTGAGTAAAGTTTAGATCAACTCAGAGAAATGAGTCCTGAGATATTTCCTGTCTAAATGAGAGCACATACGGTAAAGTGGAGGTATTGCTTGTCTTTTGGTGTTAGCAGACAGACTGTACTACAGGCCTTACCCAACCCCAATCAATTTAATCAATGGGACCAAGTATGTCCCATTGAAACTATAGTACACCCCAAGGGTTCAAATTCTAAACCTCAGTGTGTGTGACAAGATCAAGGGGAGAGATTAGATGAGAGGGTTTAGGAGATGTGTGCCACGAAGGCTACTTCCAGTCTAACCAGTCAAGGCAGGATAGTCACCCCAGGTGCACTCTCCCTCTCCTTCCTACTCTTCCTCCTCTTCCTCCCCCAAATCCATCCCCTCCACCCACACAGGTCCAGCATCGTTGGGTAGAAACACTAGAGCTTATCCTAGTGCAGCCAAAGTCAGTCAACTGGTCCTATGCACTGCAGCCAGCCAGAGTAAGCATAATGTGCAGCGAAACGTCCTCACTGCACAGACAAAACATAGCCATTGGCTGTTCAGCTTAAAAAACAGTACTTAGCAGCAATGAGCTCCTGTGGATCATCCCACTAGTCCCATAGTCTGTGTTGAAAGAGCCCCCCCATCAAGGCATGTTTCTGTCACTTCTAGCTGCAGTGATTTTAGACAGGGCACTTGGGGGTAGGTCATTTTGGTTCTGAGCATTAGGGTTTCTGGGTCCACTCCTGGCTGTCCTACTGTGTCGGGCCTCCCTCACCCTCACCGGCCCAGGCATGGCTGCTTTGTTCGGGCTGACCTTGGCTGGACCAGGCTGACGCTGTGAGGCAGCCAGTTTGGCGGCCTGTCTCTGCCTGGCGGCAAGCTCAGGGAACTGCTTGGTGTAGAGAGTGTCTGTGTACTGCAGCTCAGGAGTGACCAGGTTCTGACAGCGTGTTTTGGTGGGCCCGTACAGCCCAGGGTTCAGGTTGTAGCCCTGGATTATGGCTGCCCCGTACTGGAAGGGCTTCAGCCCGGCGTCCTTCACCTGCGACGGGTCCACTGCACCACCATCCTTCAGGCAGGTTTTGGCTAGCTCGGCACGTCGCTCCTGCAGCCGAGTCACCTCCCGCCTCATCGCCTCACGCCCCACCGTAGTGTCCACGTGTCGCCAGAAGGTGGCGTTAAAGTGCAGGTAAAGCCGCCAGTCAAGGCCGTTCCAGGCTCTGATCTTGTCGGCAGTGTGCGGGGAGAGCATGTGACGTGCGCGCTCGCTCCTGCTGTTCAACTTGAAGGAGACGACGTCATCCAGAGACCAGCAGAGGGCGCGCTTGAGCAGGATCATGGACTCGTCAAAGTACTCTGAGATGAGGATGAGGTGGAAGTCCTGCTCAATGGCGCCAATGGCTGTGGCGGCCCGCGTCTCCAGGTCTCCGGGCGTCTCTGTGGCGACGTTGTTGTCGAAGCCAAAGTCAAAGGTCAGGATGTTACGGGCGTAATGGTTGTTGGGCAGGGACGTGTTGTAATCACGCCAACCATTGTCAAGGAAGTCGTCCAGGCTGTGGGCCTTGTGGAAGGCGGGGATGCTCTTGTAGTAGGTGAAGATGGACTCCATCATCGCAACGGGGTTCTTCAGGATGGAGAAGTAAAACGTGTCCTTGGGCATCACCTTCCTCACCTGAGAGACAAAGGGAAAATACCAAAATAAGAACAAAATGTGTTAGTGATGCCTTGGTGGTGTGTCATAATTGAACAATTATTGGTAAAATAATCATATTTTTTCTGGGGAAAAGATAGTAAAATTCAACTTGTGTTAGTCTGAACTTCGATATTACCTATAATGCAGTGGAGGCTGCTGAGGGGAGGACGGCTCATAATAATGGCCAGAACAGAGCAAATGGAATGGCATCGAAACACATGGAAACCATGTGTTTGATGTATTTGATACCATTCTGCTCCAGCCATTGCCACAAGCCAGTCCTCCCCAATTAAGGTGCTACCAACCTCCTGTGCTATGACGATAGAACTCACCTCTGGTGGTCTGAACCTCATGTGGTTGCACATAATGTGGAACTCTTTGACACTGCGGCTCCTCACTCCCTCCACAAAGTGTGAGGCGAAGAAGAAGGGATAGAATAGCTGGCTGTGCTTGTTCAGCGGAAGGGCGAAGGTCAGATTGCGGCTGTCGCCATAGCGATATAAGATGTTCAGGATGGTGCTGCTGGCCGTTTTGTGCGTCTTGAGAAAGACGATATGGTTCTTCGGCCGACAGGTGGCGGTGGCGACTTCCGGATTTAAATCGCTTATCACCCCTTCAACTACAGAGTTGGTGCCTAAAGTGGCAGGGCTGTTTCTACTCTTCAGCTGATTGGTTGAGGGGAGCTGGGGAGGTTTGTGAGGCAGGGTGGATACTGCTCTGATAGCTGGGTGGCCCAGCTGGAGAACCACAGACCCAGGAACCCCCAAATGCAACTTATCATTACCCAGTGTAACTTTGGGCAGGGTTGCCTTTACTGCTGAAACTTTCCCCCTTGCCTCTTTCCTAGAGTATTTGACCTTATTGACAGTGTTTGAGAGCTGTAGGTGTTGGTGATGCTCCTGGACTCTCCTCTCCACCCCTGTCTCATCTATGCCATGTTGATGTTCTGCTGCCTTCTGGTTCCCTTTGGCCCGTTGTTTAGGAGCTCCTTCCTCCTGTGACCTCACTTCCTCTTCTACGACAGGGGTGTGCGAAGAGCGCAAGCGTACCCAGTCCCTCTGCTCCGTCGGGAGCGTTCTCTGGATCTTGATGGTGAATTGCACATTCAGGAGCTTCTCGCTTAACATCTTATCGTTCCTGAAACCAAACAGAGTGTTAGATTACAGTTAGCCAATCACTGTCAGCCTGTTTCAAAACAAAACAATGATCCAGAACAGAGAAGTGGAATGTAAAAGCTTGTTAGTTTCATCAAATAGTATCTATTATATTGATAAGTTAGCCGACACTCAATGAAATACATGTCCTCAATGATTGAAAGCAGGCGCGATCAGGTGGGACCATTCTTGCCAATGAGAGGGCAGATATGCGTGTGAACAACAGTCGTTTTTCTCAAAGTTGCCGGAATTCCACGTGCATCCACTTATATCAGTACATTTGTAACAGACTAAACGTTGCAAAGCGTATATTAGATCAAATAAGCCTCACGCAATTCGACATTCTCTCATAGACCTCCATAAAAAAAAATAGAAATCCTCTCGCTTCACCTCTTCCTCTCTGGTTTCACTGCCAGTAATATCAATCCATGTAGTATGAAGATCTGACCTAATAGCTACAGATGTAGGATCTTAATTTGAGCCAGTTTGCTACAGCAGGAAAATGATCCTGTAGCAACAGAAAATGTGAATTATTAAGTGGATTATAATTAATGGACATTTTTGTAAAATCAAGCCTATAATGTCTAAATGGAAATTACAAATAGACTACAAGTTTTACATTTCCTACATTGCAGGAAAGTTCCCCTGCAACTGGGTGATTTTAAATAAAGATCCTACATCTGTATGTACAGTAGCACCAGACTCACCTGGATTGCCAGACGACTCCTAGGATCTGTATGGCCACACAGAGCACAGTGAGGGCCATGAGCACCATCCATAGATAGCGCATGTGGCTGCACAGCACTACCTTCAGCCACCTGCAGAGGGGGAGACCAACCACAGGAACCACATTAGAGTCTGCAGCAGCATCAGGTACAGAAATACTACAGACAACGGACTGATTCTATAGCTATAAACTCATTTAGAGAATCTCAGGAATATCCTGTGTCTTTAACTCAATTATTTTACACCAACCTGGTGGCATAATCTCATTCTGAAGCTGTAACTGCATTTTCAAATGTAATTTTCAAATCATAACCATGAAACCTTTGGATTAAAATGAGTACAGATCTATGCTAGACTACAGAAATGATTTCTGTACTGTTGGATGTTTTTTCTTGAGGCTTATTGGCCATGATTAGGATGACTGCAGCGCATGTGTTTGTATGCACATGGGGTGTGTCAGAGGGAAGTGATATTCTCAGTGATTTACAATACAATCCAACAGCATCTCAATGAGTGGAACAGTGATTCACAGAAACTCTTCCAACCGTAGAGGAAACGTCACTAAGCCTGTTGGATTGGAATGCTTGTGGCGTAGTGGTGCATTGACCTTTCCCATCTGTTTGTGGGCTTCATGTTCTAATCAGAGCAATTAGCTGCCCTGTTTGATTCGACCCATTTGAACTTGTGTTGGCTAAATTAGAAGAAAAACAACAATCCACAATTCACCCTGTGGACCTCTCCGCCCAGACTGTGTGTGTGTTTCTGCTTGTGTTACAGCTACATGAGAGACATCTGGAACATCTGCCTTCCCGCCTGAATGATTTCCAGACAGACAGCAGCAGTTCTCCCTCCCTCCCTCCCTCCCTCCCTCCCTCCCTCCCTCCCTCCCTCCCTTTCTCCATCTCTTCCTACTTTCCTCCCTCCCTCCCTCCCTCCCTCCCTCCCTCCCTCCCTCCCACCCTCCCTCCCTCCCTCCCTCCCTCCCTCCCTCCCTCCCTCCCTCCCTCCCTCCCTTTCTCCATCTCTTCCTACTTTCCTCCCTCCCTCCCTTCCTCCATCTCTTCCTCTTCCTACTTCCCTCCCTCCCTATATCTCCCACTCCTCTTCTCTCTCACACATCCACCTGCTCACATACTGTGCGTGTTCGTGCATGCTGTGTGTGGTGCATCTGTGTGTGTGTCTGCCTGTGCATGTGTGTGTACATATGAGTATGTGCATGTGTCCCTGAGCACAGTCCATAAGTACATGCCACCACTACACTGTTCCTCAGTCGCCTCCAGCTCTTTGTCAGTGTAGTACATTAGTCTGGCCACCAGGGGGTTAAAGCGTGACACACACAGCGCCAGAGGCAGCCAGCCATCACTGATGGGTCATCATGAAGACATGGGATGATGATGTCACTGTGGAGCTAGTTGATTGACTCAAACAGGCATGCCACCACCATGACTAAACAACACTACATATTACCCATGATCCTCTAGTTCAGTTGCCCCCCTTGAAGCAGCTAATAGGCAAACTCTGATTGGCCCATGTCACAAATGGAGGAAAGGCAAGGGAGACAAACCTGAAAATACCAGGGAAAGTCGTTGCTTGGGACATTGCATAACATTTGCACTTAATATACTACTATTCTATATACCATCCTCCCTGTTTGTAGTGGTTTTTCATTGAGCTCTTATGCAACTTGCTTCTGCATTGTGGCTCTGACTAAATTGTCCATGTTACTCCAGTTGTTGTGTGCTACCAACATGGTTTGCGTTTGTGTGGGAATCTGGTTTGCGTTTGATCTGTTTTTTGAGTGTACTTTCCCCTATGCATGGATAACTCCCCTACGACACAAATGGAATGATGGAGTGAAACACTATGAAAGAGTTGGCTGTTTGAACTGATATTTGGAGAGAGAGACATACCCCACGAACACAAACAGACCTCACAGAGCCCCAGGACAGCAACACAATTAGACCCAACCAAATCATGAGAAAACAAAAAGAGAATTACTTGACACATTGGAGAGAATTAACAAAAAAAGCAGCGCAAACTAGAATGATATTTGGCCCTAAACAGAGAGTACACAGTGGCAGAATACCTGACCACTGTGACTGACCCAAAATTAAGGAACGTTTTGACTATGTGCAGACTCAGTGAGCATAGCCTTGCCAGGTCTGCCTACGGCGACCTTTCTCTCAAGAGAAGACAGGCTATGTGCACACTGCCCACAAAATGAGGTGGAAACTGAGCTGCATTTCCTAAACTCCTGCCAAATGTATGACCATGTTAGAGACACATATTTCCCTCAGATTACACAGACCCACAAAGAATTCGAAAACAAATCCAATTTTGCTAAACTCCCATATCTATTGGGTGAAATACCACAGTGTGCCTTCACATCAGCAAGATTAAGGCAACCAGTGAAGAACAAACACCATTGTAAATACAACCTATATTTATGTTTATTTAATTTCCCTTGTAAAGTTTTGTATTTATCTTTTAACTTTAACTATTTGCACATCATTACAACACTGTATATCAGGGTTCCCCAACTGGTGGCCTGCGTGCCCAATCTGGCCCGCCAGCAATATTATTTGGTTCCCCAAAGCCCCCCACATTAATTATGAATATTTCTTTCATTAAAACAATAATAATAATCTTGGACCTGAGATGCAAAAAGTGCCAAATGCAATGTCCCAAGAAGGAAGTGACCCTACCTAAATAATGCAAAAGTTACATTTTAATTAATGAGGAGTGAGTTTGCAGGAGACTTAGTGGTTAAGAGCGTTGTGCCAGTAACCGAAAGGTCGCTGGTTCTAATCCCCGAGCCGACTAGGTGAAAAATCTGTCGATGTGCCCTTGAGCAAGGCACTTAACCCTAATTGCTCCTGTAAGTCGCTCTGGATAAGAGCGTCTGCTAAATGACTAATTATAATTATAATTATAATTATATTATAATTATAATTAATAAAGCAGGCAGTGGGCCATTTGTGGTGCTGAAACGTAAAGCTGCAGTGCAATCAATAGGAGGCGCATGGTGCTGAAAATATAGCTAACTTGTTATGCAAGTGGCGCCCAGCAACAGATGGAGAAAAACTACACCAGTCGAGTAATTCATTTCAACAATAATCTTCATTTTAATTTGACTTTACAAACAACAAGAGGGCTTAATTGGAGTCTATTTCTTCCGAGCCACGGCCCATATACAATAACTTAACTGGCTGAGGTAGGCTATGTGGCTAACAGCATCTTTCACAAGAAGAAAATAAATGGCCTAATAGAAGTGGGATTTTTTATTTATTAGACCTACTTACAATTGCTACTGGCCAAAAAGGTAGCATCCTACATAAAACAATAATTTAAAGAAAAAAAAGGCGATGTCTGAATGTCTGTATCGGGAGTCTCGGGATAACCTGCTCCTGTAACAACAAAATATACAGAAAATACTGTAATGAGACCTAAAATAGCCCTGGATAAGCACTAATAATAATAATAATCACAATGTTAGCAGCCTTTATGACTATTTATTAAATACTAAGTTACTTCCTTAATGGGAAAAGTAGCATTTCCCCTCTTGTGGATGTCGGTTGAGAGGGATGTGATTTTGATGCGCAGGCAGTCCTCGACTGACTTACGTGAAAGCCGGTTCCTGTCGTGAGTCTTGATTGCGTTCATAGAGGAAAAGGAGGACTCACAGGTGTAAGTCGATCCAAACATTGTTAGCACATAAAATGCAAGTTTCTTTATTGTGCTGTATTCCTCTGAACATGCCACCCAAAACGCACACAAGGAGCGCATCCCTGATTTGGCTCGACGTCTGAAATTCAATCAGCTCAGTTTGAATTGCGGCGTCATCCAGCGAGGGGTATCGTTTTCTTAGCAAGAGAGGAGAATTCTCCACCTGGGCGGACTGTGAAAGGATCACGTACAAACGCAATGATATCCTTGGGCATGCTGTAGTCTTTAAATCTGGTGGAGAAGTTGTCCCTCAGCTGCTTGATGAAATCTTCCATCACCTCTGTGACAATGCTGCGGCCTGGTCCCTCTGCCTGTCGTTTCAGTGTGCTGAAGTCCAAATTGAACAACTCAAGCTTCCTAGTAAAGGCCTCAAGTTTTTCCACCATGTCCACGACTGTTGTCCCTCTTCCTTGTAACTGCAGATTTAACCCATTTAAGTGACACAATATGTCAGCCAAAAAAGCAACATTAGAGAGGAATTCCTCAATTTCCAGAATACGAAGGCTGCTGCCCTCATTTTGCTTTTTCTG